CAGCCTGCGCGGCCGGATCGGGCGGGGCGGGAGGGAGGGCGGTGGGAGGGGGGGCGGCTGCCGGGGCGGGGTGGGGTCGGCACGCGGCGGGGGTCGGCCCCGGGGGGTTTGGGGGGTTGGGGGGAGGGGCGGCCCGGCGCGGGGGCCGGCCCGGGGAATCAGGGAGCAGGGCTGTCTCTGTAGTGTGACTCCGGGCCCGAAACCACGGGGGCGAGTAGGGACCATAGAAAAGGGGGAGACCAGACACCGCGTGAAATCCCTTTTATCCAGCCCGGGCGCAGGGGAGTTTCCACGGGCGACCCCTTCGCCCACATACCGGGCGAAAAGCCGAGGCCGCAGAGTGCGTGGTCCGGGGAAGGCTGGTGTAGCCGTGGAGCTGGGAGGGTTGTGCCCTTCATGTCTCAGGAAAATTGCTCTGATTTCTGAGGCCCGGCGAGCACGCTGCCTGGAAGGGAACTGAAGTTAGTGCCCAAGTTTGTAGACAAAGGGTGTAAAGATGCAACAGAAGTGTAACTGTAACCCTGACCCAGTTCGGCCTCAAGGTCTGTCATTGCTGCTGCGGCCGCTACTCGAGCGTTTGGAGTTTGCTGGTCGTGTTTGAAAGGGAGCAGGTGTCAAACGGATTTAAACGAATACTTTTAGATCTGGGTGTTCCCCCCCCGCCCGCCCGCCCCAGCTTCACTTTCAGAAACACAGAAACGTGCCAGAGTTGGCCCTGTTTGAGGCAAGGCCTTCATACCGGCAGCAGCCAATGCACCGTGAAAGCGCTTTCATACTAAGGTCGCGGGCTTTGGGGATGCGCGAGTTTCAGCTGAAAAATGATCGGCTCATAGTATTCCCTCATCTTGAGATTTGGAATGTTCGTGGCTGGGGCCGGGGGAGAGGGGGCCTCCCTTTATAGACGATAACATTTTAGATGAGAACTCTCGAAAGTGATGGACTGAATACTTCAGAAGAATATGTCTGGTTCTCTGTAAAAGAGAACAAGGTCTGCTGGTACTCTTTAAAAATGGTTGTTGGACTGACCTGTTTTATCCAATCTGTGAAATGAAAACTTACTAGACTTTATAAACCAATTCAGCCAGCATCTGATTTTTATAACTGATACTTTTGAAGCTTGCAGTTTATCGTTTATCCTGAGAACCAGAAGTTGAATTTTTTTCATAAGTCAAACGTGATGGCTTAGCTTATCCTTTGGATCAGCCATACTTGTCAGTATTACATGCTTTACTTTCACTGGTCATTGTTTACTCTGTGGGTTTTGAATGTGAACAGTGTAGTAGGTTTTGTACTTCTGTCCTGAACATACATGAAGATATTATTTGTGAGCAGGTTTTGTTCTTGTAAACTTGATATAAATTCTTGTTTTTGTTTTGTTTTTAGAATAGCTTTGTGTGTGGAGGAACTAGAACACGATAATTTAGGAAGCGATCCCAAGTCTTTTAGAATATTTTAAATCCATGATTAATGGTGATCCAAGGATTGTGTCTTGATTTTCTGAGTATGCATTATTGTCTTAGTGTACAGTTTTTAGACTGGCAAGTATTTACCTCAGCTTTAACAAATTTTGTGAACGCTCAAGGAATGGCAGGATATCAGTTGTAATCAGGCTGTTAAATATGTAAAAACAAATCAGTTAGTACATTTAGAAGCCAAAAATAGATGATGCTTGATTTCTGCTGTTTATAATCATTACTTTGACATAATTCGTGTCAACATTTTTTGCATGCTTGCCAGTTGGGGACTCAAGGTTAGCCTAGTAGAAAAGACAGAATCCCTGCCTTTCTTGTAAATTGACGAGTATTTTGGTGACATTTGAGTTGGTTATGACCTTGAGGCATTAGACAGGGATGGATAGGAGAGGAGGGCTGTCTCAAGGACATGAACAGAAGTCTCAAAATTTAGAAACTAAGAGGTAGAAAGGGTGTTGGGTGAGAGGGAAAACCCAAGAATACCTAAAAGGGGCCAAGTTACAGAAAGGCCTTAAATGCTAAGGAATTTAGAAATTAAGATAAAGAACTAGAGTTAATTTTTGTTTTTGTAAGAGTAAGTAGCTTAAGTAGGTAAATAACAAGATCAAATCTGTTTTTGTTTTGTTTGTTAATCTTAGAAAAAAGTAATTTTTGCTATATGGTATTTGGCACCCATAGATAACAATTAAGCAGTCATTCAGGTTTGTGGTTGATTCTTTAGCCCCATGTAAACTAGTTTGCCTTTTAATATATCTCTGTGGAATTCCAGCACGGTGAAAAAGAAATAGGTCAGAAGTATGAGTTTGAAGCATCACAGAAGACAGAGTTGTAAAACTGGAATGGTACTTAGAGATCACTTAGTTTAGCGGTTATCAAACATTTTTCAAAACAGATTTGTTTTCCTGCAGAGCCCTGCTATACAAAGCAGAAAAAAGCAGAGCTGTTGTGGTTAAAATAGAGGTGGAGGTCCAGGTGTTTTGGGAACACAGTCTGTAAAACACCTAGTTCACTTCTCTAATTGAACAGATCCATAAAGTTTTGGGTGGGTGTTTTTCACCAATGCCCATATAAGCTTCTTGAGGGTAGCAGCCTGCCTCCTGTTCAGTGCTGTATATTCAGGGCCTAGAACAAGTTATAGTCTCATTAAACATTTGTTAGATGAAGTCTAATACAGTCTTCTAGTTCCAAGTCCAATCTCTTTCTATTAACAGGCTCTAAGAAGTCTCTTATTAGAAAGTTTGATATTGGAAAGGGTAGGGAGGCAGAAATCGGGCCTTCATTATTACTTTTCCTTATTTTCTATGTTTAATTGTTAACATGCTTTCCCCCATTTATTTGAAGATAGAATTTGACTTCTTTGAGTGTTTGAAATATTTCTTTTTAAACTTCCTTCCTTGAAGTTATATTTCTGTACTTTAGTTTTTCATTGAGCACCATGTGGGTGGTTTAGAATTATTTGTATTTTCATGTGAAGTATTAGTTGAATATTTTTCAACTTTTACTCTGCCTTTTGAGAGTCCTTCCAAAACTGAGTCCTCAAACAAGGGAAGACTGAGTGAATAATATCCTGGTAATGATGGCATAACCCCATAATTTCCCCCAATCGACTTAAATTGAAAGAGGTCTTTTTAGAATTTTGGGGGGCGGTGGGTTACCCAAATTTACCAGTAAAACACTGCTTTTTAATTCTACTTTTAGGAAGCAAGTGGTGCTCATTTTCAAATGAAAATGTGTTTTCTTCCTTCCATGTGCCTTTTCCAGGAATGATACTACTGGCAGTTTTATCATTTTAATTGTTAATAATGCAAGGAAGATGAGATAGTAATGGGAATTATGAGAATTCATTATGGAAACTATAAATAAATATACCATTCACTCAGCAATACTGTCTGGTAGGTTATAGGAAACCCTTCAACTTTGAGAGCACATGCAAAATTTAAAATGATACAAATCTCCCTAGTGTGTCTGAAGTAAGTTTCTTTCGATCAGAGCAGTATCTGTGTCTCAGGTTTCTAGTCTTCCTTTCTAGCTAACCAAAAGCATCAAGTCCTCTCATGAAGATACTGCCATGGTATAACATAGCTTTCTGCACACATAATTTCCCCCTAAGTTGATTAATAGATATCTCAAGGATCTTAAAAAATATATAAACAAGTGTCTTGTATCTGGGTTTAGTTTTTATTGTTGTTGCTGTATTGCTTTGGTTATTTTTATTGTATTTTCATTCCCATGCCACTCCCTCCCCCTCAGTTTCTGAGGTTATATCTGTACTGATTTTTGTAAATCACATTCATTGCTACTGATCCTAGTATTTCAGCTAACTTCCATCTTTCTGATTCATCTGTAAACCCTGAAGTATTTATTAGATGCTAAAGACGTTGAAATAGAACAGATTTTGAGCCAATCTTCAGCAGACTTTCCTAGAAATGAGAGCATCTTCACAGTCAGCACTGTGTGTTAGAGCAGATCATGTTATATTCAGCCCTGGGGAAGCCACTATTATTTCCAGTAGCCTAAGCACACTCAGAATTGTCAGCAAGTGTGGGCTAGTGAAAAGGCTGTAGGCTCTGTTACAGCCCAGGGTTTTGTGGAGAAAATTACTTAACATCTCTGGACTTCAGGGGATAATAATACCTTCCTTGCAGGGTTGTTGAGAAGATTACATTAAATGAGGTACTATTTTTTAAAGTACCTGGTGCTTAGCAAAATGAGACGCTTAGTAAATGAGGGTCCCCTTCAAAATACCAGGATATAAATTCTTCATGTGGCAGATACCGTGTGAGTTTTCCTCATCACATTCCATGGCAGCATGCAGTAGGCACTCAATGGAGTAAGTGAACTTGACTATTATTTTTTTACACTCCCTCCCAGGAATCTGCTCTTGGAAGGTTTCCTCTAATAGGCCACTACCTCAGCTAGCTGGTTTGCGGGAAGAGGGGTTTCATCGGTTTTAAGTTTTCTAAAATTGTGTGCTGAAAGCTGCCTGTAAGAGGAACTGAGGAAAAAGCGGATGAAGTAGGGAGGGGGGAGGGACTAGTGAAATGCCTTGCCTAGGCAGTGGCCAGGCCCTAACTCACTTGTTTTTCCTAGTGTTTCTGTGAAACGGGTGTTGTGAAATGGGCTTTGGAACCTGCAATACCTGGCTTCTTCACTACTTCCCAGCTATTGGAAATTGTATGAATTAGTGACCTTTCGTGCCCCTGTTTGTTTGTTTGTAAAAGGACTTGAGAGAATTATATAAGATTATATATAGGAAAGTAAAGTACCTGGCATGTTGTAGGTTTTCAAACAATATTGATTTTCTTTTGGCCCCTTCACTCTTAGCACTCATTATCATGACATCCAAAGAGGACAACTGATGTAGTGGCAGGAATAACCTATACTTAGTGCAGTGAGATTTCATCCAAATGGTTGCATAGGCTGTGTCTGCCAGCAGTGACTGGCACAGTTAC